TGTTACAGCTTCTCTTCATTACAGGATGGTATTTCATTGAAGGGCAGTAAGAACATACATTACTGTGGAACCTGAGAGAGCATGCCACATCTTTGATATAAACAAAGGAGAGAATTTCATAAATGTTTCCCATTGATGTTGGGTAGCAAAGAATAGGGTTTAACTTGACCTTCAGTGCCACTTCCAATGCTCTTAAGTGGTATGGTGTGAATGGCTTAAATAACAGCCATGCAAGGTAAAACTGATTCTTTTTCTTACTAAGCTTTGATCATTAACATGGGAAAAACACTCATTTGCATCACAGTCATGGTTGATGAATGCATTACTAATTTTGTCTTATACAGACACTGTAGAACTCAGTGTGCTCTAGATCTTTCACAAAAGCATTTCACTTCTGTGGATATTAAAATAACTTGTGACCACAACATTATAGAACATTAACAAAAAGGAATTCCCAAAGAGTCAAAATTAGAAAATCAGTGCACCTTTGTTTCAGTTCCAGAACATTCTTCATTACGGTGCCATTTTCAGAAAGCCAAATCTTTGAGAAAAGTGGGCAGATGGGAAAAATAAAATTGCAATTTTATTATTTATTTATTTATTTATTTATGTGAAATGTAACCTATGTCCTGAAGAAATAAAAGGAAAGCAGAAAAAATCCTACGTATTCTAAGTTGCTCTTCCTTGAAAGTGAGATAAACTTTGTCTAGCTTCAAAAGATTGCAGTCAAAACTTCCAAAGGCAAGATAATGTACAAATCTTTTTGGCAGTGTTGGGTGAATTTGTACAGTCTGCTCAAACCCTTACTGCCCAGGAAATTTACAGGACTCATTGAAGCATCCATTATAGACTGCATATCTTGTGGAAAAAAAAATACCACCAGCAAAACATTGCTTTACAGTGCGTAAAATTCATAAATGCTCTCTCGCACCAAAGTGACCTGTCCTCTGGGGATTCAACCTTTTGCTAAGCCTCTTAAAAGTGTGGCCTAACTTCTGCTAGCGGTCTCTAGTGGTTAACAAAATTGGCAAGGAGAGAGAATATATATACATATTTTAAATTCAGGCAGTGAGAGAGACTGTGCATCCATGTATTAATGGATAGGGGTATATAACAGTGAAATATTCTTACATGATTTTCCATCAAACTAATGAATTCTGACAAATATATCAACCATACTTTGACGATCTGGAAAAATACTATGATTCTTTCAGGATTAAAAAATAAAAAGAAGAAAAAAAGTGTAATTATTAAATTCAATGAGTTGAAAGGATGCCATCTAGAGGGACTTTGGCAAACTTGAGATGAAGGTCCTTGTGAATCTCATGAAGTTAGACAAGGCCAAGTGCAGTGCCCTGCACCTGATTTGAGGTGGTCCCAAGCAGAAGAACAAACTGGGCAGAGAATGGATTGAGAACATCCTGAGGAGAAGGATTTGGAGGTGCTCACTAATGAAAAACCCATATGAGCCAACAGTGTGTGTCTGTAGCCCTGATGGCCAACTATATCCTTATCATCAAAAGAAGAATGACCACCATTGTTGATGGAAATGATCCTCCCCCTCTACTCTGCTCTTGTGAGACCCCATTTAGAGTACTGCATTCAGATCTGGGGTCTCAAGGATACAGACCTGATGGAGTGAGTCCAGAGGAGGAACATGCAGATGATCAGAGGGCTGGAGCACATCTCCTGTGAAGAGAGCCTGAGAAAGCTGGGGTTGTTCAGCCTGTAGAAGAGAACTCTCTGGGGAAGCCTTATACTAGCTTTCCAGTGCATAAAGGGAGAAAGGGGATCTACAGGAAAGACAGGGAGAGATTCTCTCTATCAGAGAGGGAGTGTAGTGTTAGGACAAGAGGTAACAGCTTAAGACTAAAAGAGGGTAGATTTATATTGGAAATAATTAAGAAATTCTTTACTCAGGGGGCTGTAAGGCCATGAAACAGGTTGACTGGAGAAGTTATAGATATTCCATCCCTGGAAGTGTTCAAGACCAGGTTGGTTGGGGATTTGGACAACCTGATTTAGTGGAAGGTTTACCTGCCCGTGGCAGAGGAGATAGGTCCATTACAACCCAAATGACTGCAGTTCTACAATTCTATGAAACAGCTCTGTTCTGAAGAGGCTCTTCCATCATAATGCCCAGGCAAATTTTAAATTGACTTGCAGTAGCTGATACTTCTGATGAGGCAAAAACTGCAAATTTAAGGCATTACACAAAAATGATCTGGATTTCTAAATTATATATTGCAACATAGTAAAAAACAATGTCAGAAGAACATGTACAACAAATAACTCAGATACGTAACATCAAAATAGCAAGAAAAAAGGCACTTCCAAATTAAATAACAATTCGGTTGTTCAGGTTTTAGTAGAAATTGCAACACTTCCCTGGACAGAATAAATTGTAAACAGCCCTGTTTTCATTAAAAAGCCATCATAAGTACAATTCTCAAACAAAGAGGTATGTTTCGTGGGTTTGCTTTCTAAAATTGCAGACTTCAGGGAATGATTACAACCTAATGCATTTTCTTTGTATTGCAAAGAAATTTTATAGCCCTGCTTGCTTACACGGGTATGGATACTGCATCATTTTGCTGGCTGTCCTCTTGCTCATGCTCTTAATTTTTTTATTTCTCTCTGAACTGTCAAAACAAAAAACTTCAGCGAGCAAAGAATGTACTGTAGCACAAGGTAGTCAGCAGAATATCCTATTCTGTATTCTCTATATTTTTTCTCTAAAATGAAAATCATCAACATCATCAGAATCCAGAAGGTGATCCAACCAATTCTTAGGTTCAGATAGACTACATTCTAGATATAGTCCAATATCGTCCTCTAAGGGTTTTAACTTCTGTATTTTGAGGGTATGTACTCAAGGACTGGAGCTTTAAAACCATCGATTGTTAACGAGCAAAGGCTCAAGCTCAGACTCAAGGGAGATAATCTTACCTGGTCATACAGTCAATTGTATGGACTGACAGTTTAATATCTATTTCCCATGCTGAAGCAATGGGATACTACTAATCTGAATCATACATATGTTGAGATTGTTGAATCATACATATGTTGAGATATGCAGGTACACAGGGATAAATTAGGAAATGTTATGCTTGTGTAACTCTTCTAGATTTCAGTGAAAGTGCATGGATGTGTTAAAATGTAAGGATCTAATTTACTACTGTAGAGTCTTGATCTTGTAGCTGTACTGATAATAGAGTAGAACAGAACATTTATGCAATAATGCAGCTCAAAGTCAGAGCAGTCTCATGTTGTTTAGGGTTGTGAAAACAAGGGAAGAAAATGTCTCCTGAGATTTTTGTGAAATTAATCCTTTGTCCTGAAAAATAAAAAGAAAGGATGACCTGATTCAAAAAAGTCTGCAAGAGAAATATAGCTTTGCATTCACAGATAAATCTGTCACTGACCACCACATTCAATGCAATGTTGAGCTTTTGTTTTTCAGCACTTTGCTAAATACTGAAAACTCTCTTAAGGCAATTGTTGGCAAATTTCTACAGAAACAAAATAGAACAAAAGAAATCCTAGAATCCCAACCATTATTGGATTATTAAATCCAGAAATAAAAAAGCAAACTTAACAAAAATAAGAAAAATTTATGCCCACCATTTCCTGGGATACAAAATAACAGAAATCCAATTTCTGAATAGAGACAGGGACAAGTGCGAACGGAAAATAACTGGCTATAGTGAACGTGCTTAATCAATTTAACTTGTATTGTACATATAGAGTATTTTATCACGGAGAAAAGATAGCCCAAAATGGCAGTTTTAAAACAGAATCAAAAGGTAATATGTTGAGTAAAACTGTAACAATACTTTAATTTTAAAGTTTTCTGGTTGTTCACCAACTTGAGTTTCTTGTTACGATTTAAGCTAAAATATCTTTGTATATGCAAATTAGAAACTGTGTTATTGGAGTTTCTGTTTGCCTTGTAGTTTTAAGTATGATGTTACAGAGAATAGAAAATGCATACTTACTCTTTATCTTCTTAGGTTAAACAAAAGACTATTTTAATACTTTTCTAATATTGATAGATGAATTTATTTTTTCTGTGCTAAGAACAGTTAAACACTGGAACAGATTCCTAGGAAGATTATGCAGTCTCTCTTCCTTCAAAATATCTTTGAAGAATAGTTTCATTTGTACAGTGATGGAGCTAATGCTTCTCAGTCATTACAGATGTGCAGTGACCTATAAGATCTCAGAGTATCCCATGGAATTTTGCAAAAATACAACTATGCAAAAGCCAGCTACTACCTATTTCCACACACAAGAACACAATACACTCTTACACCAGAAAGTCCCTGAAGAAAGCAACAGACAGGCATTTTAAGTTTTCTTTCATTTTCAACAGAGTGAAAAATAAAAACAATTACATAAATGGTATGGTTGATTCTTCTTGGGTTATTTTATTTTATTTTTTGAAAAGCTAGATGGTTCTTTGTTGCAAGAAATGTTCAGAAAAACTCAGCCAGGTGACTCTAAAGGCAACTACTAGGTGCAACCCAATTACTTTTTAGACATGCCTTATTAGGAAGAACATGAAGAGGTAGACTACCACTCAGGAAGCACTGAAAGACCTACTCTTGGTATCATATTCATAAATGCAAGCACAAATTCAACTTTTTATTCACCTTAAATTCTTAGTTCCTCCCCTAAGGAAGGCAATAACCGTGAAAGTACTCACTCAATACTACCTACCTAGAAACAGATGAAAATGTCAACACTTATTAATTAATCCACTTTCTGGAAATATTTGTGAATATTTGAACTACAAATGCTAAAATGTATAAAGGAAATAGAATATCTGATTATTCATAATTTGCAGTATATTCTATGCACCATGACCTTGATATTAACCAGTTTGATGATGACATACTAATTTTCCCCTTCTATCAAGAAATGCATGGAGATTACTCTGTTAAATGAGACATCTCAGACAAAACAGAGATCCATTTTGTACTGTGTGTTTGATTTACCTTCATTATCCTTTAGAGTAAAGTTGGGATTCAAAGAAAGCCCTTCATCAAGAGAAAAATGGAATCTGACCCCATTTGCAGAGTTATCTTTGTCAGTTGCAGTGATGGTCTGAATTACCTGAAATAAAAATTAACAATGAATGTGCTGAAATTTAAACTTGACCCCAATATTACCTGACCTTAGTAGAATGTTCAAATTTTGCTTATTTTAATTTTCTACTTGACTGCTGCTAAATTCAACAGATGATATGATTGGGTCATTAGCTTGATTCTTCTAGCATGAAATGTTTTAGGAGCTCGATAAAAGCACCTAAAGCATCTACACTTCCCAACATTCGGATATGGTACAGACATGGAGATTTTCATCATCTGCATTATCTCTTACTGACCTTCAGAATTACACTTTTGCCTAGGCTTTAATTAGAGCCTAAATTCAGGCTGAACCAGAATGGTCTGTCCAGTGCACCATCTTGCTTGACATTCTAACAATGAGATGTACTTCAGTATTGATTAGGAAAAATAATCTTTTTAAGGAAAATGGCAAGCTCTGTTTAAAATTTTGGATAAGAATTAGTTTTAAAATTGTCAGAAAATAGAAAATAAAAAGCAGCTGCCACTCCTGGGTATAGTTTGATTTGCCCCAAAGGAACAGAATTAGATGTAGCAACTATGTACAGGAGAAGTATTTTTGAAAGGTAAGACCTCTACCTTCAAAAGCCCTGATGATTTTTAAAATTTACTTTCAACTAAAACTGAGCTAAGCTTTTGGAATCTGTGACCAAACAATATTTCTAACTCTACTTTCATTTTCATGCTGGGTCTGGAAGCTCAAGTGATAAAGTAGAATTTAATAAAAGTTGTTCTTGTGATATATCCAGTGAAGCCTACATAGAGTGCTGCATGGAACTGATAGATATCCTGAGGGAAATGTAAAAGGGGGAGGGAGAAAGGCTCTTTTCATGAGAATTTTTCTGTTCAGTGTTCAGCTGCAGTCTGCCTGGGCTGAACCTGAAGCATAAACAGTGTGGGCTCCAGAGGGTTGATCTATTTTGAAACGAAAAGGCAGCACACAGTTCTCTACCACCATTCATGTACGAGAAGCAAAACAAATACATTTTAAAGCCAATAGACTACAATGATTATTCTGCTGAACATATACAAGATAATATATTCTATAGACTGTGCTAGTTTTAAACAATTAACAATACTGCTGGATAACTACAGAGAATATTTTCTCATGGTACTTTTTTACTGACCTGTAGAAGAATAAGATCAAATTGAAAAGTCTATAATCATGAAGTTTTCCAAAGACATGATAATACAGATGAAAATGTTTGGTAAAAGCTAGTTGTTCTCTACTGAATTTTGAAAAAATGAATATAAAATTGAAATAATTACCATGTAAAAACACTTATTTACCCTAGATACATATTTTAAGTTAATAATGTTCACAAGTTATGAGCAAAGCAAGACAAAAACAGGAGTTAATGTAAGTACATTTTCAAGACAATCGGTTTCCATTATTACTCAAATACCAAAAATACAGTTAAATGCAATTCACAGCTGCAATAAATACAGACCAGAACTTAAAAAATGTGAATTGCTAAATACTGCTCATATATCATACATGCTCATACGTAATCATCATTGAAAGATATGTCAATTATTTTAATAATAATACAATAATTAGCTATGTACTTTCAGATTGTATTTGATGGCCTCATAGATAAACTTTTGTCCTGTTGTCCTCTCTTAAATCAAATGTTCTATGATAGTTTACAGAACCTGGCTTCAAGAATATGTTTTTTTTTGCAAAAAAAGATACTTTTGATCAAGACCCCACTACCAAAAGACTAAAATTAATGAATAAGATGCATTAAAACTCAACATTCTACCTACTTTCTTACACGTGGAAATTTGAGTATCCCTTGAATACATCAACCTGTGTAAAAAGTACAGCATCAGATGGTATAGAAACTATGCTTTTCCAAGTGAAAAATGGACAGTGTGTGTGTAATGGAATAGGTCAAAAGAGCATCAGAACGATTCTTAAAAGAAAAATGGCCATGCTCTTTCTGAATAAGCCCCTGTTTTCCAAGGGATAGATTCTGAAGACAGTCTTTCAGAGGTGAAGAACAAAAACGTGCATCTATCTGACATCCATATGCACTCCTAGCCCTTTTCTAATTAATAGGCCAACTAATTATTAGCTTAATAACAGATGTTAACATGCACCTTATCAGAGTTGCTGATTAAAATAAAAATGTAGACAGAGAAACTCATCTTCTGTAATCCTCACTGACACCACTGAAGAGATTAAACTGAAAGGTTATGGTATTTTTTTTAAAGGTAAGAGTTGTCCAGAAGAAAAAGTATTTCAGTAATGAAGGAGAAGTAATTGAAAAGGATATAGAGCAGGAATTCAGTCCAGCTCAGTTACTTTTCAGAACTGAATCAATAAACAAGTTAATATACATACGGCCAATTTATAGCAGAGGTGTGCCTTGCCAGCTATGATTCACTTCCTTGACTATTAGAAATAACAGTGCCCAGGATAAGGTAGCTCTTCTTGGCAGCACAATGTTCATACATCCTGATTCTGAAAAACTGTTGTGTGTTTGTACACGTATGCATGTGTGTTACTTACAGTAATACATAGTGTCAGGGAAATTACATTTCATTATTACCATAATTTTTTCTATTATTCTTCTGAAAAACACCAATATGACTAGTAGACCTAGAGAGACATTTTAACAACCTAATACTCTGTCTGGACAAGCAGTGAACTTAGAAACATTCAGAAAACTGTCAGCATTTCACTCCTGCAATGTTCATAACAAAACTTTTTTTAAATCACTATTTACTTTCATTTTCTTAAAATTAATAAAATGAGACGTGTTTTAAACAAAGGAAAATTTCTTTTGTAATGGCACTTCATTGAAGATTCTGAAATATCATTCTTCTCCACTGGCTGTATTTCACAACCATACAGAAAAAGAGTGTATTTCTAGAACTCAAGATTCTCCAACTCAGTTTATTACCTAAGATCAAAATCACAACTGCTTCATTACATTAATATGTATTATCTATTAGGCTTCATCTGAAAGCTATTGAAGATACAGAATTTATTTTCTCAGTGACTACTAATACAGAAAAACTATCACTTCACTGTGGAAATTATCATCTTCTCAAAAACATTTTTGAGATGCTTTAGGGGGTTCATTGAAGTACATTTTCTTATGTTGTATTATTATTATTTTGGAAACTAAATAAATTGAGCTACTGAGAGAAAAAGAATCAGGAGACCAATTCTGTCTCTGATTTCTCTCTGTAGATGCCTCTCCTGAAAATAAATAGGCAAACACAAAATTTTGTTAATGACAAAAAATCAGTTTATTTTATAATATATATATAATAAGTATATATATATATAATAAGTTATATATATATATATAATAAGTATATAATAAATTCAAAATAGATATGCTAAGACAAACGCTCTCAATGGCTATGCAGCTTATCTCCTTAGATTTCCTGAAGAAAGAAACAAGAACTCATACAGGACAGGGCAGAGCTGCAGCCCAACCTCAAACATCAGTCAAGTAGCTGTGCCTGACAATGTCTGACAGAATTTATTCTTTAGTGATATTTTGTACTACTCATTCTTACCAGATGATGGATAATTCAGAATAAATGCTGTCTTTGTAGTGATTCAAAACTATTCAGCTCGATGTGTTTTCTAGCACATGGAAAGTTGTCTTATTCTGCAATCTTTGCTTATTTGTTCTTCTTGAACACTTGTTGTTCATTGACTTTTTTTTCCTTAAAATAGTTGTCTTCTGAGCGAGAGCCAGGTGCTTTTGTATCTTTTTGTAGTTGTTTTCATGTGTTTTGTTTTGTTGTTGTTGTTTTTTTTTTAATAGCCCAAGGACATCACAATCTCTTCTGAAGCCTAGCTGTATACTAAATATAGAAGTCAGAGCATGTCTCATACAGTCTTGACGCAAGCTCATCATTCCAACCTACAACCTGTGTAATCATGCATAACTGCCATGAAGATCTGTGTAACAACTCAGTCTATGCAAAGAAGGTACTTCTGGTAAAACAAAACAAAACAACTTGGTAAAGTTCTCAAACTATGGACCACAGTGAAATGCATTAACCAGTGGCAGCTGGAAAGTAATTGTTTTTCAGTTCGAATTGCAACCTTCCCTCTGCTCATAGTTTTGGAAGAACTGTTCAGCATATTTTCCTTGAAGACCCTTCACAGTCAGGTTCACCCTCATTTGGCTGTCCATCTGAACACTTCTGAGCAATTAAACATACAAAAACTGAGGACAGTAGTCATGCTAATCAGTCATTCCACTAAGTTACATTTGAAACCTTTCTCTCACATGGCTCTTAGTGAGAGCTGTTAAATCTGCTTTATCCATTTTTTAGAGGATAGTGACTTTTCAAATTCCATCTGGCAAGATTAAGATTTTTGTATTATATTTTCTTGAAATAAGAAGAAAATACCTTGAATGAATTCCCAATCTTCTCCCTTCAGTCTAATACAGTTAAAATACAAATTAATACATTTTAAAAGTTGGGTGAAATGTGAATTATGAAAATGAAATCAGAAGGATCATACGGCATGTGATCAAAACAAAGTTTTAACACTTGCAGCATTAACAAATGAAACAATTCTTCTTTCACACTGAGGAAAAGGTAACTGAGAGTTACCTGACCAGGCTTTGCATTCTCACAGACCACTACGTCATACTCTCTGGCAAGCTCTGGAGGATTGTCATTGACATCCAGGATTCTAATGCCAACTGGAACATGGCTCACTAGCCCAGGATTGTCTGAAAAATATACAGAGGGTATTTATATATATACAATATTCATATAATTAATTACATTATATATATATATATAATTTTCAATATTAAGCAATATTGAACATTACATAGATATTATTTTACAAAAAAAATTCAAATTATGTTATATATGTAATATTCAATATCTTGTGTGACATCCTCAATATACAGTGACATCCTCAATTAAAACATGATTTCTCAACACAGCAACTGGGTGAGAACTAGATACAGTTGCAAAACTTTAAGTAATAAGATCATGAAAGATGATGTTTGCTGAGCTTCACTTTTTGAAAAGAAATAGGGAAGAAAGCATAGTTAGTTATACCATAGCAATAAAAATACAAGGTACTCTGAGAATGAAGTAAAAGGCTGTTGGTGCTATTGTATGCTGTCAAACTCTATGCAAGAAACGACTGATTATTTTTCAATTAACATCAAAGTGTAATCACATTAAGACCTTTTATATTTTTCTCAGTCCCTCAATGAGTTTAGGAACTAGGAAGGCAGCTCCAAAAGTACTGCCTATTTTATGATGTTGGTTCATGACATCAGAGGCAAATGTTGGTGGTATGGCAGCAGAGGCAGAACCTTCCTACCAACATTCCATTACATTGTGTTGCCATGTGACAGATAGTACCAGATGGGCAGTCTGACAAAATAGCATCAGACACGAAAGTATGGATGAAGCAAAAATGTATCACTGAATTCCTCCATGCAGAAATAATTGTGCCCACTGATATTCATTGATACTTGCTGAATGTTTCTGTAGACCAACAGTTTGCATGTGAGTAGAGTGAGGCAGTGGTTTTCAGCAATGTGAAAGAGAAGACACATTCCAGATGGCCATGCACAGCTGTCACACCATGAAATGAACAGTGTTCCCATCGGCTCATCCATGCAAATCAGTGGATTATGATCAGGGAATTGTGTATGAGCTGAACATTGCTTTTAACGTATTGGAAATGATGGTGATAACTTTAGACTACTGCAATGCTTGTGTCAAGTGGGTCCCATGAATGCTCACACAGGAACAAAAACACTGTATGCAAGTTTGTCAGGATCTACTGAACCAATACAAAACAAAAGGGGATAGTCTACTGGATCACATCATTACCAGTTATGAGACATGACATCACCATCATGAGCCAGAGTCAAAATGGCAGTGCATGGAGTGGTGACATGAATTCCCCATCAGAGAATTTATAAATGCTGCCACCAGCAATTAAAGTGATGTGCACTGTTCTTTTGAATAGGAAAGGGATCCTTCTGGATCCTTCTGGATTTTTTTGGAAAGCAGACAAATGATCAGTTCTCATCACTACATAGCACTGCTGTCTGTCTCACCTGAAGGCTTGAAACTCCAGAGTCAGGACAAGAGGAAAACAACTTTTCTCTTGGAACATAATAACACCAGATCCCCTAACAGCTTGAAGACCATGGAAGGCACTGCCAATCTTGGTTGAACTATCCAACCACAACGTGGTCATAGCAGCTGTGAAACACTGGGTCACCCCTGCTACTGTAGATTTTTATGAATGCAGGCTCTCATTCATCGCTGGTGAAAACGCACGGCTAATGGTGGTAATGGTGTTGAAAAATAGTGGTTTGTAGTTGAAAATTTGCACTATATCAAATAGTGTTATTGTACTCTTTGCAGCAGTTGTAGTCTCCGTGGAAATAAATTGAAGCCATTATTTTCAGAGTAATGCATGCAAAGTTCAGAAATTATATGGAACTAAAAGCACACAGACATACATAAACCATTCCCAAGGCTGGTTTAAACCTTCTCACAAGTTACCATGTTGTTACACAAAGTAGTCAATAAGTCTTGTATTTTCTGTGAAAATTCAGCATCAGTGACACATCGGTTAGAAAATGTTTAAGTAATGCTATCTTAGTATATGATCTATACTTGTTTGAGAGCTCACCTTCAAAAAGAGATCACTTGCAAAAAAGCACAATAATTTATTTTTTTTTCAGTGAAAATAAGCTTTCTGTTTTAAGATGGGAAAAAAAATACAAATCTTAATGCATCATACTTTTGTTCTTACTACTACTATGTACCAAGACACTTATATTTGATTAGAAGAATTATATTTTGAAGCCCTTTTAAAATTAGGGGCAATATATCTTCCAAAGTCTATGCAAGTATCCATCTTGTAGATAACAAACTTCATTTTGTTTTTTACCAATTAAATTAAACTATCAGTAGAAAAAAACTAAGTCCATCATTCATGCACAAGGTAGAAGAATGGGTTTTACAGGTTTATTTTTTTAAATGTGCGTGTTTTATTTTTAATTATGCTTGTTCATGTGAAGGAAAACGAAGCAGAAATATTAAGGATCTAAAGTTCACCTGTCCTGGTTATTTCTTCTGTATTTAGCGACATTATGTTTCCATCAAAAAAAGAGTCATTTGTAAAATGCTTCAGATTTTTCATGCCTTTGAAGGCATTTGCTCAGAATTCTATTATCATTCATTAGTTTAGACATTTAGAATCAAAACCACCAGTAATGTAGCCTCCTACTAAAAGAATATTTGAGAGCACTTAGAGTTTTTTTTGACAAAGTGAGAGATATATCCTTCTATGTTTTCATCTGGGATATTAGTCAAAGAGCCTGGGTTTGAAAGTTTTTTTCAGATTTTTCATATTCTCTTTTTGATTAATATGACTGTTTGCATGATGATTTTCATTCACTTTTGGAAATTAGTCATCCATCCCCATGAAAAGGGGTTAGGAGGGAAATCAAAATTATAAACAGAAAAGGAAGACTTAATTTAGATCAGATAGGAACCTCACTGTCATTTCCAATTAACATTAGTATTAAAAGTTATAAGAATGCATTCAGAAGGGCTATAGACTCACAAATTCCATTTTTTTTTACTGTGAATGTTCAGTTGCAAAATTAGGAACATGTTTAATATATAGTACTTAAGTAGATTATTTTAGTAGTCTAGAGGAGTGTTTAAGTGCTGTGAATACACAAAGGGAAAGTGAAGAACGGTTGGCTGTTTGCTATGTGGTTGGATGCAAAAAACCATCCATCTCAAATTATGAAAGAAAGAAAAGCAGCCTTCTCCCTTTGAACTTTGAGAATTAACTGAAAAGATGTTTGGCCCTTCCTTGGTGGTAGACTTTAAGATTGTGCAGAACAGCACAGTACAAAGCAATAAAGATTAATGCTCACTAACATATTGTACAAAGTATTTTAGGTAGATTGTTCTGTCAGTGCTAACAGACAAACAAATTACAAAAATCCTATAGTCACAATTACAGGATATGAGATCGAATAATATGTTATCTAATCTCTAGTTTAGGAAAATATCTATGTTCTTGAGCCTGGAATGCTCTAACTCAAATTCTGTGAGGTATCAATTCATAGAATCAAAGAATGATTAAGGTTGGAAAAGAACTCTAGAATCACGTAGTGTAACTGTCAACACATTACCACCATTCCCAGTAAACCATGTCTCCAAATGCTGCATCTTCTCTCTTCTTGAAAACCTCCAGGGATGGTAACTTCACCATCTCCCTGAGCTGCCTTTTCCAATGTATTACCACTTTCCAAGAATAAATTTTTCCTAATATACAATCTGAATCTCCCCTGATGAAACTTAACGCCATTCCCTCTCATCCTGTCACTGATAACTGGGATAAGAAGTTGATCTCCACCTTGATACAATGCCTTGCAGGTAGTTGTGGAGAACTATAAGGTCTTCCCTGTGCCCCCTTTTCCAAAATAATTTCAGGCATATGAACTAGAAAAAGTTATAAATTACAGGAAAGATACAAAGTAGACAAAGGAAGAGTACACAAAAGAATAGTACATAGATCAAAGGCAGATATTATAGTAAAGGGGTAAGGAAGAATCCACCTCGGAGTGGCTTCAAAAGATACAGTGAAAGCGATGAAGATTTTAATATTAGAAAAAGCCTGAAGGTTTTGTCAGAAGGCAGAAGTATTTGTGACAACTAGATAATCATAGAATCTTAGCTGAAAGGGACCTCTGCAGGTCATTGGTCTGTTCATCAGTTCAAAGTACTGCCATCTTCAAATCTAGAAGAGGTCATAATACATCTAAGAGGAAGGGAGAAAGAAATCGGGAAAAGCTCAGGGCAGAAGGTAACAGAGACAGAGAACTGTTCTGTTGATATGGCATGTTTGGAATATTTACTGAGGAAAGAAAATCAAATGTTTTAATCCAGTGTGTTCCTTTCTGGCAACAGACAAGTAAATTCTTGTGTTTCAGTACAGTATATCAGAACCCTTTCCCATTCCTGAACAGTGTCCTCCTGTATACCTGTCACTACTTTCCAATGCATCTTACCCCAGTCTGTTGAGCTTTCACTGAGATTTCACAAAGATTCAGAGAGCTGTTGGTTTGTTTTTTTTTTTTTGGGTTGCATATTATCTATCTATCTATCTATCTAGTTAGCTAGCTACTACCTACTACCTACCTATCTACCTATTTATTTTTGGCAGCTATTTTGCACAAGGAATTACTTTTTATCTTACCAGTTCAAAAGAGTACAGGGAATTGTTGGTATCTTTCTGGAAGCAGTTACCTTATAGGATCTCTGACCTTTGCAGGCAAATTTCCATACTGAAAGCCTACTTATTACAAAATGCTAACACGGAAAGTATTAACATCACTTTCCAAAATGGTCTTGAAGTTTGTCAGATTGTGTATACTACATCAATGTGTATGCAAGATGATAACACAGGTTATAAGGGAGAGAGGGAATAACAAATTAACAAGGTCCTTATAAGCAGGTTGTATTTTAGTTTGTATTATTACAAATTATATATTTTATTACAAAATAAACATAAACTACAGCCTTTTGCAGGTGTGCTGCTCACCTGCAATCCCACACACACACTGATAACTGATCCCTTTTATATTAATTAGACAAATGCAATGCAGTAGTTTGGCAGATTTCCAGTTTTGAGATAATCAGTGCTGATGTATATTTCAGTCCTGTG